CACCCCCCCCCCCCCCCCTTCTCCTCCGTCCTGCAGCTTCTCTCATCACAATCCCTCTGGCAAACACTGCTCTTTGTGTCCTAAAGCATTGTACAAACAAGAAAAGCTGACTTTCCTCCACGCTGTGACCGAGCTGCAAACACACAGCTGCTGCACGGTCAAGCAGCCTCACAAGACCCCGCTCCACCAGTGAGGCCAAGCCATCACGGTCCCTCTCCTTCCCCCTACTGGCCCTCTCCAAAATGCTAATGGTATTTACAGGAGAGGGGAGAACATGGAGCGGCAGGTGCAGCAGCTGGAGTCTGATGCTACACTGAGCACAGAGGCCTCTTTGTAACAGTAGAGGTGAGAGATAATCAGCCAGACTGGAGTTAGATCAAGGCTGACGTTCATCTGCTCACTGCTTTGAACGCAGGGTCGGAGTTTAAGGATTCGTCTTGTGTTTAAAGAGGCTGTGGACGGTATAATACAGTGATCAGGAAAACCACCACGTCACACCACCAAACAACAATCTCACAATAAGATGAAATAGAACAATCTTGTAGTTTAAACGACCTCACAAATCCCCAGTCTGTTTAGTTGAAGACAACACTGATATACTGGCAGGAATTAAAGAAAGGCACACACACAGATCTTCTTTTTTTTTTTTAGCTTTAATAGCCATGCGCTGCCTCCTAGCAGTAGAAAATGTCATTGCTCTGACTGTCACACATTGATGAACAAAGAAAAAATATTTGCAATAAATAAATAATAGTTTCAGGACCAATTAATGACATTGGATAATTTTCCACGTCACAGTGGTCGGGAATCACTGGTGTAGTAGTACCACGGTGGGTGTTTTAGATAAAAGTAGTTGTCTTATAAAATGGTGGGTCGTGGCCCAAAAGTGGATCAGAGAGATTGTAGATTTTGATCTGATGTTTAACGCCTGCGTAACATTTGACACGTTGGATTATCTGTTGACCAGGTGAATATATTGTACCTCATTATGCACTGAGTTCATCTGTTCTACACACTTTTAGAACGGTATCTCAGCGTGTTAAAATATTGGAATATGGAAATACTGTATATAGGAATCTTATGTATTTTATTTTTTATTTTCTTCTGCACAAATATCGAGTTAAGTCTATTCTTTTCTATTCTATTCTGTGGCTTAACAACAAAAACAGGTTCTAATAATGCAAATTTGAAAAAAGGAAATCATTTATATTTCTCTTTTTTTGAATTTATATAATTTCAAGGCATTTAATCAGATCATTCTTTTAACTTTTTCGAATTTTAGATAATTTCAAAGGCATTTAATCAGATCATTCTTTTAAATATATCCAGTGATTTCTTTTATATAAATATTAAATACATATTATTATAATTCTTACTGACTGAAACGAACTCTTTTAAAATCGTAAAAATTATATTTAATCTCCCTAATTTGTAACAACAAGCTGCGACTACATACAGCTGTGTTTAAATATAAATCCTGAACTGATATTCCGTTTAAATTGTGACGAATCCTGATGATACACTCATTAAACACTTCCTGGTCTCTTCCTGTGGAGAATTAAGCACGTTCTTGTGTGGAGGAAACCTCCAGCATCAACATGTAAACACACAGAAGCCCGTCCGTGGTGTCCGTGGTGTCAGTGTCAGCTGGGAGCCCGGCCTCAGTGAGAGCTGAAGGAGAGAGTAAATATTTGTCAGCTGAGAGCTGCGTGGAGCTGCAGAGGAGCCTCTCCTCCTGGAGCCCGTGGGTGTTAAATAGATTAAGGAGACGCTGCTCATTGTGGACACAGAAAGTTCCACCTCTCTGGACTCGACCACTCTTTGCTCTTGCGTGTTTTTGCTCTCGACTGGAGAGCTCTCTGTAAACTATCCACTCCAGCGGAGCCGCGCTACTGTAATCCGCTGCTGTTTGTCAGCCGGAGGACAGAGTCCACCGAGAAAAAGAAATCAATTATTCATGTAGCACGTTCTCTGTTTTCTAATGATCGGGGATTTACGTTATTCCTTAAATGTATTAGTTTTCCAATGTGATATCTGCGCGACGTGCGCAAAAGATAAATACGAGAGTTTAAAGAACATACAACAGAATAAAAGTTAATATTTGAGGACGACGACGTTTGTGCAGTTGTGGGAAATTAGTAGGAACTGAGCAGTGTTATTATTATTGGTAATATTTTTTTAGTTTTGAAATAGTGCGTAATGTTCGTAAATGTTTGGCTAACTACAGGGATAGTGGTTTATTTTTGGTTTAACATTGAGTTAACTGACTTTTTCACTGCATTGTAAATGTTACATAATGCATTAAAATTGAGCTGCGTGTTTTGAGTGATTACCTTGGTGAGTTTGTTGCAGTGGATGGAGACATTTACCCATCTGTTTAAATACAATATATATATATATAATACGTTCTACTCTGTAGACTGTATGGGGTTTTGCGTATTTTCCAGAAACCCCTTA